GCATGCCTATACAGGCAACCATACTTCAATAGGGACTACCGTAGGTACGGCTATTTTAATACAATGGATAGGAAGGACAAGATCAAAGGACTCGCATAATGTGCATGCATAATGTACGTTGACTCATTAATCCCCCCCCCCCCAACCCACTTTGCGTAAGAGCGCAGAAGTGTGGTGTACAAATCTACGCCTCTATATAAGGAACGAAACAGGTGAACTTCTCCACAAATCTGGTTGTCGCCTGAAGCTAGTTGTAATTACTGGCGAAACGTCGTACTCAGTTTGTAAATGTTGTGGCTTGGCTCTCCAACACACCGGAGTGCTGTCCTATGTGTCGGTTGGAGGCGGGTTTTAACGACGCATTTATATATTTACGCGATCTAACCCAAAACAACTTCTATTACACAGAACAATGTTTACAATCGGTGCATAGCACTACCCGCTGTGTCACGTGATGCACAAACACGCGGTCAGTTACACAAGCATGGGAATTCGCAGAGAAGCACTGAGAGACGCAGAGAGGAAGCCGCGGACGAGACGGCGCACGCAGGTGAACGAGGTGATTACAGGCGAGGTAATGAGCTAATGACACCTGGTAAGAGAGAGAAGTGAGTGAGGCTTGGGCAGGACGCGTCACGGCCAGAAGGGACGATGGCGGTGGTCAGCAATTATAGCGGAGTGGCAGTCACGGAATGGAAACGCGTCCGAGAGGACGTCCACCGATGGAGATGGAACGATGAAATCGGTCAAGGACATCACAGTGACTCTGACGACAAGTAGGCACACGTACGGTTGTAATCGCTGCACGGACACGTGGCACCTGGACAGCGCTGCTGGGCCAATCATCGCCGGTCTTCCATAGAGACTCGCGAACACATTTACAAAAAAGCGGTCATTTCTAAAACACTTAACGATCCCAAATATATTTTTTCTACTCATTCACCACTGAGATGGATTTGTCTGAGACATAAAAAGGAATAAAAAGCGAGCCCGCTGCCGTGTCTTTGTCACCACAATGCCGTGACTCGGATTCGAACCGAGGTTGCTGCGGCCACAACGCAGAGTACTAACCACTATACGATCACGGCGAGCTACGCGGGCTCTCAATCACGGGGGCGAAGGGAGCCCCTCTTATAGCCGGGACCCCGCTGGGCAGGTCAGCCCGCCCTCGACGTAGGAAGCCCCGCCCACTACACAAGTAGCCCCGCCCACTATTCAGGTAGTCCCGCCTACTGCTCAAGTTGCCCCCGCCTGGGTCTCTATGTGAGTCTATGGGTCTCTATGTGAGTCTATGGGTCTCCATGTAAGTCTATGGGTCTCTATGTGAGTCTATGGGTCTCTATGTGAGTCTATGGGTCTCTATGTGAGTTTATGAGTCTCCATGTAAGTCTATGGGTCTCTATGTGAGTCTATGGGTCTTTATGTGAGTCTATGGGTCTCTATGTAAGTCTATGGGTCTCTATGTGAGTCTATGGGTCTCTATGTGAGTCTATGGGTCTCTATGTGAGTTTATGAGTCTCTATGTGAGTCTATGGGTCTCTATGTGAGTCTATGGGTCTCTATGTGAGTCTATGGGTTTCTATGTGAGTTTATGAGTCTCTATGTGAGTCTATGGGTCTCTATGTGAGTCTATGGGTCTCCATGTAAGTCTATGGGTCTCTATGTTGTGTATCACTATCAACTGGGCTGAGACCATGAACTCACTACACTCGGCAACCCGGTTCTGTCACGGCTGGTCGTCTGTTGAAACATAATTCCGAACCCAGGCAACTTCTCACAAATCTGCCCGCTCTGTGTCTGCGAACCTTCAGCCACTCGACCACCGTCTTCACCCTACTCCATCGCCCCACGGGTTCCACGTGACCTGGGTGACTGCACGGGGCGCCACGCGTCCAGCGGGGTCCCGGCTACGAGCCTGCGTAGCTCGCCGTGATCGTATAGTGGTTAGGACTCTGTGTTGAGGCCACAGCATCCTCGTTTCAAATTCCAGCCATGACATTGTTGTAGACAAGGACATGGCAGGGGGCTCGCTTTTTCTTTATTTTAAGGTCATAAAAATCCATTGCCGACGTTCTGGTCTATTCATCCAATCAGACCAATCCAATAGTAATAATAATTACACTCACAACATGGGTAACATCTGATCAGACTCCCAGATACAAGCGAGCTGGATGGAGCCCTTTTGGAAGTTGAAATTTAGTTAGATTTGTTAGACGGATGATCCCGACGATGCTGGATGTAATTACCAGCGAAACGTCGTACTCAAAAACTGTAAATGTTGTGGATTCACTCTTCAACACACCGGTGGGCTAAAGTAGTGAACTATTTGTCTTTTGTCAATGTGACACTTTTTTGCTGATTGGACGTGTCGGGTGGTGGAGGGTTATGACAAATTTATAAATAACGCAATCTAACCCAAAAACGTTTATTATGAAAAATATTGATTGCGAAAGCCTACGTGTTAAACAGATATATAAAGTTTGATTTTATCCGATTTTTTTACATGGATGATGGTCTAGTGTAGCCAGTTTCCTGGATATTTTACCGCACAGGAGATCCGTGGTGCTGCATGAGACATAGCAGTAGCAGCAGCAGGAGCAGTAGCAAATCAAAGGCCCAAAACATCAACATTGCAGATCAGAGTGCAGCAGGCTCCCCAAGGGATATTTGCACAACCAACAAATGGGTCTTTTAACAGTCGTAAAAAAAGAAAACTCACGCGAATCAGAAACACTGCAAGTATAATATGAACAAATTATGTACAGGTGCAAGTGAGCTGCTGGAAAGCTGAATCATGATGAAAGTGTGCTTGGAGAGGAACGTTTTCAATCGGTGCACATTACCAACAAATGTCCCCTCTATGGGCTCATGAAGGTCGTGATTTTCACATTCAGAGCAGTTGGTCCACAGGATTAACGGATGGCATTGGTGTTGTTGCTGTCCGTGCAGCTCACGTTTGCGGTGAAGCCTCCACGACCACCACGCCCCGTGGACAGACCCCGACCGCCGGTGCTGGCGACGGCGCCGAAGGAAAGGGAGCAGATTGCTGTGGAGAGCCCGTACTCATGTCCCGGCTCAGCTACAACCTGGCCACCGGTACGGATCCCCACATCCCTCTCGTGTCACACATCGACATAGACAGACCCCCTGTGTAGCCTTTAACAGCCCTGATGGGGGGGGCTCGCCCCTAGAGGTGGTGCTGCGACACGAGAGCTGCTGCTGCTGCTGCTGCTTCTGTGCCACGGCCCGGGCGTACATGCGCTGTGTTCACATTTGTGCTCGCTGAGCTGCATGGGCTTCCATTTGCTTAAGGAATACATTACGAGGTCGCACTCATTGCACACAAAGTGCTTGCCACAAATGAACCACAATACATTGCTGATCTCGTCAAGGAACATAAAACCATCGCGCAAACTCCGGTCATCCTCGCGGCTGATTGTGGCTAGCCATCAGACGTAACATGGTCACTGCATCGTGCGCTTTCAGATGTGCTTCTGCGGCCGTCTGGAATGCTCTTCCTTCCAACATTAGGAAGGCACTGGCGCTATGCACTTTTAAATCTACGCTGAAAACGAATTACTTTAAAACTACTCTTTGTATTTAGTTTGTTGTCTTGCTCTCCACACGTGGAGAGCGCCCCCGATAACCGCTGCACGTCATTGCCTTTGCATGGCTGCATTGTGCCAATCCGCAGGACCACGAGGGCTCTCCTCCTCCTCCTCCACTGGAGGTGAAGCCGTTGAAGGAGGAGAAGGACGAGGAGGTGAAGCCGTTGATGAAGGACGACATCGATGCTGTCCAGGTGGTGGATGCACGGGGGGGCCCTGCCAGCGTGGACAAAGGACAGGGCTCTGGCACGAAGCCCAAAAAGACATTGCTTGAGGGCGTCAATCCATCAGGTGACATGAGTTTCCCTTCTCGCAGTTTCAGGTGTTGCTCAGTGGCATCCGCATCTTTGTTCGGTTTCCTCTTTGTGCTTGGATGTGTACATGTGTACAGGTGTGCGCGCCTGCGTGTGTACAGGTGTGTGCGCCTGCGTGTTGGCCACCCACAGCCTCGTTTGCTGTTCCGGATTTCATAGGTGCTCGTTAACAGCACTTGCCCCAAAAGTCTGTTGCAACTACTTGAGGGTTCTTTGTCTGAGTGAGTGGAGCGCCAGGTGGCTAAATGTTGGCACAGTAGGAGGCACAGGTGGTGCATCCATCTGCCAGTTATCTCAGTCAACCTATGGCACTTGGGTTTGTCCCGTGACCTTCTGCCAGTCTTCGACACTTGACGTGGCCTCAAAGAGTGCCTAGCCTGGCATGAACGCAGTGGTGAGGTGACCACCACTTAGTGGCAAACGTTGCGTGTGAGACATCTGTCTGCCAATTAGTACACACAGCACACTATGTTATTCCATGTCCGACCACATCGCCTCAGCATAATATAGCGAGTCTTGGGTATAAATAGGTCAGCCACTGTTCAAATCACAGACTTATTAGAGGGGAGCAACAAGTTGTCAAAAGTTTATTATTACTACGGATATTTCGGAAATTGTTCTGCCAGTAAGATAATAGAGCTAATCATGGTGTGTGGTGCAGGGGGCGGCGGTGGCATTTGTTCATCTTTTGCACAGAGGCTGACGGCAACCAACTCTGAGGTTCCCTACGAGACATACAACCCGCAGGAGCGAGAGGAGCTGAAGAGAGTCTCAACCGTCTGGTACCTGGGCACCACGAAGCGTATGCTTCCACGAGGCGGAATACGCAACAACGGCTATGACAACGACAAGGGGTTCTACATCCACGTAAGAGCCAGGGCCAACGGTTGCTTTCCATCGCCTGGCGCTTTCAGAGTGGCGACGAAGCTCTTCATTGTCGCGTGTTTTTTGGGAAGTCCACATTGTTGACGAAAGGCAACTTGCAAATGTGCCCACAGAAGACAGTTATCATTAATTTATACGTTTTTACAATTGTATACTACCAGCTGCTCTGACGTGGTTAATCGAAGACAATACGTCGAGATCTGAGCAGTAGCAATAAGTCGTAACTTGAAATAAGTCGTAAGTGTTGGAACGTCTCACCTCTCTCTACAGAATCAAAGCCAACGTGCAGAAGGAAGTAGAAATCCTCAAGCGTCTACGTGAAAAGGATTTCAACAATGACCACAACATCATCCGCTTGAGGGAAACGTTTTCCTTTCGCGGTCATCACTGCATATGCCTCGAGCTTGCAGGGTGAGTGGTTGCAGGGATTGTTGTTCAACCGGGCATACAAAGTCCTCGATTTTAGTTTCTTCTATTTACGTTGTTGGTTCACTTTCATGTCGCCTGTGGATTAGACGGTGTATTTCGATTTTAAACGCATTGATTCGCTCCATTGTTTTAAAAGATTGCCATACTGTACACCGTACTATCCTCTCTAAATGCAAGCTCCACTGCTGTCTCTGATGAGTACTCCGTGTTAACTTAGGTTATATCTTTTAAATTGTTATATATCTTTTTGGGTATATTTTTGTATCTTACTTTGGAATTAATATTTTTCTGAATGTATTTGCCAACAATAACTAGCCCCAGGACCATATTCAGAATTTATATCACTAAGTCAAGGGTAAAATCGGTTTCCATTTACATTATTTCACCTAACGTCACGTTTTCCAGGGATGCATCCCTAATGTAAGTAATAATGAATATCAGATTGCGTGGTAACCAAACTGGAAAGCGATATTTGTATTTTCCTTAATGATCCCGCCGGGTGTAAAGGAGGTAGCCAGTGTATCTTTAACTGAAACTAACGTCATATTTTCTACCGTGTGTGTGTGCCCTTGTGCAGACTCGATCTACGGAAGGTTATGAAGACGGCGGAAACTGTACCTACAATGCAGTCCGTGCGTTTGTACGCTCGGGCTCTGCTCAAGTGCTTGAGCCTGCTGCGGAAAGAAGGAATCAGCCACGGCGACTTGAAGCCAGTAAGGGTCAGGGGGAGTCAAATGGCGTTAGTAAAATGTGTGTCCAGCGCTGTGGAGATAGCTAGGGTTGGTGGATCACGGCACACAAATGTCGTGAAATTCCCTTTCCGTGGGAATCTCAGAGGAAGTGCCATGCCCTGGCTCGCCAGAGGGTGGTATAGCAAGGAGACTAATCTCCATCTGTTTCCATCTGTACAGGGATAGAATGTTGCCCCCTCACGCCCGGCATGGGTTTTCTCTGGGTCCTCCGATTTCCTCCAACATGTACTATAAATAAAAACTTAAAATAAAAACACAACGTGGCAGGACCCTCCTGAAGAGGAGTCCAACGACTCAGTGATGCTCTCCTTGATAAATTAGTGAATTCAATTAAAATCTAAGGTAACATCTATCTGCAGCGAAAGCGACTCTGACCGTTCGCATGACAACGTACACGTCGCTGTTTAGCGTTTTAATACTCGGCACCTGACTTTGTGATATGAAATGGAGATAAGCAAAGGCTCGGCTCAAAGTCTGCAAATGATGACAGCTTGACCCGACAGCGACGTCTCAATGCGTAACCGGTCACTTGCAACGAAGCATCGACGAGTAAGATGCCGTGCATTGGGATGGACGAATGTGCGTGCTCTCTCCTAATCTCACCTCTGTTCAATCTCCCTCCCCATGCTTCTTTAGGAAAACATCGTGCTTATACAAAATACGATTAAGACGATCAACTTTGGCCAGAGCTGCTATGGAGAAAGAGGTACGATTGCCAGGACGTAGTCGTAAAGCTTGCTTTCCAAAGGACCAAAATGGCAGTTTTAGTCAGGAGTGTTCCTTACAGTATGTTGATAGCTCCATGAAAGGGGTAGAGCAGTAGGATAATGGTTCGAACGCTTCACATTCAAATCCCAGCTAAGGGAAACATCCATTGTTGAGCAATATTTGAACTGAATATGTGAAACGTGAATTCCATGAACCATTTAGATATCTACCGGTGATGCGCGAGCAATTGCCTCTTTCGTGGAGCGCACAACTTCGCCAAACCATTCACCACAGCAGGGTGTGTAACGGGGCATTGACTTGCCGATTAATATCCGGCCGTCCTCTTCACCAACTCGCACCAAGCAGAATTCTGACGTGCGGTCAAATAAACCCCACGACCAGCAACTGCGCGTAGAGGCCCGCGTCCAGTAGCAGACTGACCAATGGGCTGTGTCCGCGCGCTTGCTGGCAAGCAAAGAATGGATGTTTTTGTTGCTGCTGAAGGGAGCCTCTTGCGTTGGACTCATGGCAGAGGCATCAGGGGTCTGATATGGCGTCTCGTGTCTCCTCCTGCGCAGCGCTCTCTGACATTCAGAGGATCTGGTACAGCGCGCCAGAAGCCATCCTGGGCCTGAAGAGCAGCGGCCCGATGGACATGTGGTCGCTTGGCTGCATCGTCGCCGAGATGTACTCTGGGGAGATTCTTTTCCCAGGCCACCACAATGCCCACCAGCTCGCCCTCATCATGGAGGTGAGCGTCGCCCGTCAGTCAGGCTGAGGCAACCTCGCGGGGAATCTGAGAACAAAAACAAAGAGAACACGTACAGCAGCGGCAATAGTGGCCGATAATGCAGACAGGTAGCGGTGGAATTAGGAAACGATTAGTTGATTATGTTTTTTTCACTTTTAAAATCACAATGCATGCTTCCCTTGCTATTTGACTGGATTCCATGGAATTTTGGCTTAAATGTTCCACAAGTATATTCTTAGCTCTTTCGGTAAAGTCACGTTGAAGGTAAACAATAAAATAATAAAATATATATAAAAACAATAAAAATTCTCACGACGTTTCGACCATAACACAAACGGTCATCATGAGGTGTGAAAAACCAACGGCAAGAAACATTTGAAAGAAGTGGCGGTCCGCATTTATTTATTTATAATGGAACGGTGTTTTATTTATTTATTTTAAAAAACGTTAGCGCCACGGGCAGCGATTTGGCAGTTTGTTTAGAAGGACGAGTCCATCTATGTTCTGAAAAGAGGAGGGGGGAGACTAAAAATTAATGTATGCTGTCTGAAAGCCACCTTAAGCGTGAACAATCAATTAAGACCTGAAATGGTTTATCAAATCCTTCCAATGATTGCTAAGCCAGAATCCATCTTCTCGGTTGAAATTGTCTCTGTGCTTGTATATGTGGATAGCCTCATGAACGAATCTATCATGGTAGCCAGATGGCTTACAAAGAACCTCTGTCTTGGAGAAGTCAATGTCATGTGAGCCTACTGAATTATAACAATGATCTGCCATGGCCGAGGTGTTGGTCCTACCGTGTTTAAGGTCGGCTTTGTGTTCACAAATGCGGTCCGAGACATGGCGTTTGGTTTCTCCAATGTAACTACTACCACAGAGGCAACTTAGTTTGTAGACACCAGGGTACTGTATGTCCAGAATCACATCTTTTACAGACGGAACCAGATGACGGATTTTATGTAATGTGTTGAAACGGACCTGGATCTTGTGTTTATTCAAGATTTTGGAGATATTTTTTGTGATCCCCGCAATGTAGTGTAAAGTGTTCTACAAGTTTTTATCGTAGTAGCTTTCCTGGGTTTCCACCGATAATTATCGGTTATTATCATAGAGACGTAGCCAACTGATTATAATCATGACTTAAAGCTTTCGTGACTGCAGGAATTCATACGCTTTGGGTCTATCTACGTGACTTTACCGAAAGACCCAAAGAATATGATGATAATCAGTTGGCAACGTTTCTATTTTGGTTTTACCTTTTTGATTTTGTTATTCTGATTGGGTTTTTACCTCTGTCAATGTTTTATTTTAACAGAAATGTAGTGGTTCAACGCGCGCATATTCGAGAACGGCTGCTGGGTAGCCAGAAGAGGTGGTTGGTGAGGATCATCGTGGGGATGGCAAGAGCAGCTAGGGTCAGGATGACCGTCGGGGTAATTCAGTTGGGGTAAACAAGGGGGGGGGGGGGGGGGGGGAGGTGGACCGGAATTCAAAAGACCGGTATCTGGCAATCATAGAGCGATCTTCTGGAGAATGTTCTGGAAGGGGTCGCGAGGGATATATAAGATGGGCAAAACGAGCCCGAGAGGCAGTATGATGAAGACAGAAGACAAGAGAAGCTGAAGCCAGACCCGCCAAGCTAGTTCGAGTATTCTCGGGCGAGAGTAGTCCTGCGTGGAGCTGGGTAGGCTAGGATAGGGTCGCTAGGGGTAAGCGCAGTCCGTACGTCGGCACGCTTGACGCCCCGGGGCTACCGTGGTATATACCCGCAGAGGCAGCGAGACACGGCAGCCGGGAGGGGTGAAACAAGGAGAGTAGAGAATAGGATAGGGACGCAGCGAGTGAGGGAGCGGACGAGCGACGGGCGGCGGATCCTCGGCTTAACTAAACAAGTGTTATATAAACAAACTCTAATATAACTGTAAAATATATTTCTGTAGTGTTGTTGGGATCAACCCCACAACCTCCTGTATACCAGGCAAGATAGTAATCACCTCAGCACCGCGGCAACTAATACATGTGCTTTAGACATCGAGGCCACAGTAACGTTGATTGATTGCCTGATTCTATTTGTCGATGCAGGTGAGAAACATTCAGCCGTTAACTGTTTAACAATAATGCCCCAAGGAGGATCTTGCTTTTCTGCCTTGACGCATTTATTGCCCTCAAGTACCCGTGATGAAACGTGATCCTGCGTGTTCATCCCTGTAACGTGTCCAGGTCTTGGGTGTCCCTCCACCATCGATGATTCGGGCTTCCCCGCTCAAAACATCCTACTTCGGTGAGACTGGTTGGCTACATGCCACAAGTTGCATTGCTTTGAACATCCGCACACTGATAGTGCAGACAGCTCTCGCTTGTCTCTAGGAATGGGGAAACGGGTGGTCCAGATAAAACCAAAACAGAGATCTATCTTATTTTATATTAATAGCGCACCTTTGCTCGCGGCACTTAACATGGTTTGAAACACGGTAACATAATATAATTATTTAGATGACAAGGGGCGTGCAAGGGCTGAGGAATGAGTAACCACAAAGGTAACAGATAATGCAGTTAATAACAATCATGCACGACGCAATGTAGCCACGCTCCAGGCTTAGACTGTGTGGCAGTAAGGTTTCTGTTGGTACAGCACCCAGATGCTGGAATTCCTTGCCCTTGGAGCTGAGGAATCCGCAGTTGGTAGAGACTAAACTTCGATTTAAAAGTCCTCTACCTCTCTCTCTTTAATTCTCCATCTTATTCTTCAGTCTTCATCTCCCCGGTTACTTCTAACTTATTGCCCTACTCCACATGCATGCATGGCATGTAAAGGCCATTATTTGGGTACGCTGTATACATACTAATTATGATTTTTAAAAAAATCCCATTATAAGCTTTTTCCGTTATAGAAAATGAATAGTATTGTTAAGTCGATTTGGGTAAGAGCACGCTCACTGCTCTACCCATGCAGAACGGCAGCAGAGACATAGAATGCGTCGTACGTTTGTTTCTTCGAGCAATCGGTTCACGTAGCGACGTGTCTGCGGTCACCCGGCCACCGGGTCACCGACACTCAACGTGCGATGAGCAGCTCATGATCGAGACAGCGCGCGTGCAACAATATACTCTTGAATCTGCAAAGCGCCGCGGTTACTCCATAGCCCGCATATTCCCACCCTGGGGATAATCGCAAGTTGACTGAATGGCGAGTCTCCAGGGACGGATTAAGCTAGAGGCAAACGACCTTAGGCCCTCATTTTCTGTAGCCCCCACCCCCCCTTTCCACCGTGAAGGACCGGCTAAGCGAGGGTAACGCGGCCGTTGGAAAAACACATTTCCCGTGCATTACGATGACAGCATTCGTAATTTTGGTCAAGCGAAGAAGATGTTTTTTGTTTGTTTGTTTGAAGAAAGATTAATTTACCCGGAGCCAAGTATATACAAATTTTACGCAGGTAAATAAATAATTGTTTCATGACTCCGTACACATTTTTTTCAAAATGTGATAACGTTGCTTTGGCCCTTCCCTCCTGTTAGCCTTAGGCCCCTCATTGCCTTAATCTGGCCCTGCGAGTCACGCTCTATGGCCTCACCGTAAGCAATTCCGAGTTCATGCAAAGTACTTTTATCCTCAGATGAATGCAACATACCGCGGGTCGTGTTGGATTACAAGCGGTACCTAAAGCCTCCGGGCAGCGTCAAGTTGAAGAGACGGCTGAATGCGAGCAATGAGGACTTCATCGACTTTATTCGGCAATGCCTCACGTACGTACACACCCTCCCCCCCAACCCTTCCCCCTTATTACGTGATAATAGCGAGGAACCTGTCTAGCATGCAAGCATGGCAGGATCTCACCACGTGCAGCAGCAAATGATCCGCTAGGATGAGCAGTACGTGGATCGTACACGCCGACTTTGTGGTGTCCGTCAATGTACGGTCATTCCTCGCTTGACGCGGCAATTTTCAGTAACGCAGGTAGCACGCTTAACAAGGAATTAGTGTGAAGTCGCACGTGGCTTCCTTCCTGCACGTCCGTGGTTCGTCGCGCCTCTGAGTCATGCGCATGCGCGCTGCATGAGGTTACGTAATAAGTCAGAACACTTGAATTGATGTACTATATTTAATATTCAAATGCCCATAGATCAGTGTTGTGAAATGTTTTACGGTTCGACAAATAAGGGAATCATTGTTAAACTCATAAGCAATATTGTAAATGTGCATGTGCCATTGTAAAAAAAATCATATTGTATTGTGAATATAAGTTAAAGTAAAGTAACGTGAGTATAAACAACATCAGTTTTATTTATCTTGAGTCCTGATGCTGGCTTGCTTGTCGGAAGGGACGCAATGAGTCACCACATTCACACACGGACACACACTCCAATGACAAAGATCCCCCATATAGCCTGAACAGACTGTTGGGGCAAGTGCTGTTAGGGAGTAGCATCTATGAAGGTCGGCACGGCACACACAGGGGGTGGGTGGGCCAGCCACCACGCCCGGCCGCCTTTGTCTCCCGAGTGGCGATGTTTTTCACACCGCACCAGGTACTCACTTGAGGGTGCGTTGACCGAGGCGAGGCCCAGGACCGGTTCAGATAATCGTCACTGGTGTTATTGGCGTCTTAGCGGGAATCGAACTCGGTTCGCCACTCCCCACACACACACTCTCACTTTCACACGAAAAAGTTCCCCCATATAGCCTTAACAGACTGTAGGGGTAAGTGCTGTTAGTAAGCACCTATGAAGGCTTGGAACGGCACACGAGACCCATCAACTCACACTAAGACCCAGACACCCATAGACTACCCGCAAAGACCCATACATTCCCACTGACACCCAAAAGCTCACGCCACGACCCATAGATTCGTGACTCGGGTAACGACTCCGGGCACCACGTGCCCAGCGGGGTCCCGGCTATAAGAGGCGCTCCCGGCACCCACATAATTGCGAGTCCGCGTAGCTCGCCGTGATCGTATAGTGGTTAGTACTCTGCGTTGTGGCCGCAGCAACCTCGGTTCGAATCCGAGTCACGGCATTGTGGTGACAAAGACACGGCAGCGGGATCGCTTTTTAATCATTTTTTACATCCCAGACAAATCCATCTCCGTGGTGAATGAGCAGAAAAAAATTCTTTGGGCTCGTTTATTGTTTTATAAATGACCGTGTTGTCCTAAATGTGTTCACAAGTCTCTATAGAAGACCGACGATGATCGCCACGCACTGTCACTTTGTTGTTCATTCGCAGTTATTTTTTTATTTTTTAGCGTGCCTGTTTTAACCCAAAGATGTTGTTTTTGTATATTCGTTCCACCACCCGTGTTGTGGAAGGGGTGCGTGGCGTGTCCACGTCCCCGCCACTCAGCGGCGAATGGTGGTTGTTGTTGTGTGGGTGAGTGCTTGGGTTGCCACCTTAACCATTGTTGAGTAAACGTGGACAGACATCTCAGTCGGTACTGGGTCTGTAATCAATGCCGTGCAGCAGCAGCAGCAACACAGCAGTAGAGTCCAACACAGCGGTAGAGTCCAACACAGCGGTAGAGTCCAACACAGCGGTAGAGTCCAACACAGCGGTAGAGTCCAACACAGCGGTAGAGTCCAACACAGCAGTAGGGTCTAACACAGCGGTAGAGTCCAACACAGCGGTAGAGTCCAACACAGCGGTAGAGTCCAACACAGCGGTAGAGTCCAACACAGCGGGAGAGTCTAACACAGCGGTAGAGTCCAACACAGCGGTAGAGTCCAACACAGCAGTAGAGTCCAACACAGCGGTAGAGTCCAACACAGCAGTAGAGACCAACACAGCGGTAGAGTCTAACACAGCAGTAGAGTTCAACACAGCGGTAGAGTCCAACACAGCTGTAGAGTCCAACACAGCGGTAGAGTCCAACACAGCGGTAGAGTCCAACACAGCGGTAGAGTCCAACACAGCGGTAGAGTCCAACACAGTGGGAGAGTCCAACACAGCAGTAGAGTTCAACACAGTGGGAGAGTCCAACACAGCAGTAGAGTCCAACACAGCGGTAGAGTCCAACACAGTGGGAGAGTCCAACACAGCGGTAGAGTCCAACACAGTGGGAGAGTCCAACACGGCAGTAGAGTCCAACACAGCGGTAGAGTCCAACACAGCGATAGAGTCCAACACAGCGGTAGAGTCCAACACAGCGGTAGAGTCCAACACAGCGGTACAGTTCAACACAGCGGTAGAGTCCAACACAGCGGTAGGGTCTAACACAGCAGTAGAGTCCAACACAGCGGTAGAGTCCAACACAGCGGTAGAGTCCAACACAGCGGGAGAGTCTAACACAGCGGTAGAGTCCAACACAGCGGTAGAGTCCAACACAGCGGTAGAGTCCAACACAGCGGTAGAGTCCAACACAGCGGTAGCGATACCGGCACGAGAGTCAACTCCTGCTACCCAGGCACAGATACCGACTCCCAGACGAGGCCACGTCCAACAGGGACACAACATCGAATGGATGGTGCAGGGTTGGCACCAGGCCACGATTGTGCCGGGCAGCCCCACAGAGAGGGCTCTGTAGGCCTGCCCGGGGTAACATCTGGTTGTTCGCCAGCAATGGATCGTGCAATCCTTCCTCTGCCGAGCTACGGGACAATCGTCCCAACTCGTGATGCTGCGCTGTCGCCGCACGGGATCCTCTCATCGCTCTCGTCGAGATTGAGAGGGCGACTCAGAGGCGGCCAGGAGAAGGAACCACGGACGGTTGGGAAGGCACCAGCAGCACCACGGTGAACCAAGCACCGTATTCCCCATCACCACCACCACCACCACCACCAAAGCTCCTGCAGTCCTCTACAGGGACTCCTCTTTTTACGAACGAGTTAGGTTCCTGAGGTCTGTTCGTAAGTCGATTTGTTCATAAGGCCAACTTTACTCGTGTCGATTCCAAACATGTTGTATGGCATACACACAAAAACGGGGAATTTCTTTAACAGTTTTATACTCACGTGTAGATGCGACTGGTTCTTCGTGTTCTGCAGATGTAGACGCCACCACCGCCATCTGTTGCGCGGCGCTTGAACTTACGACTATCGGTCCGAACAGGCAACTGGACATACGGACAGGTTTGTTCATATATCTGAAGGTCCCTAAGTCGAATGTTCATAAGTAGAGGAGTCCCTGTATATTTGAAAATGTTACCTTTCAATTAATGAATGTTTACATGTGGGAGGAAACCAGGGCACGTGAAGATAATCCAGGAAGTGCAGTCTCCAAATTGTATTATCGTTCCACTGTCTATTCTGTCCTATTTATGTACTTTGGCCGAAACGTCGCCTCTTACGTATGTTTCCCTTTAGCGCGACGCGCACATACACACGGTGTGGTTATTGACACAGCGAGAGAAGGCGTGACCTGACGTTGTGAGCGGGCAAACGCTGTCCACGGAGCGAACCCTGACAGCTCGGACGGCCACCGCCTCACTGCCATCTGCGAGTCGCAAAGCAAATACAAGACTGGGCGACAAGCCAGAGTGCGCGCAGGCAGTGCGCGTTTGGACAAGGTGACGAGAGAGGGAGCGGCGATTGCACGCCGCTCATCGTCAGGTTGAATGCGGCGAATGGACGGCAACCCAAAGCAATGTCTCAACCGACGCCATGCGATCATTCACTTTATTACGCAGCAGAAGGTTGCAAAAATGAAGCAGGCGTCATCAGGCAATGGACATATTGCACGTCTCAAAATAGTAACCAGTGTCACTGCAGAGACAGTAAATAACAGAACATACAAGCAGACAATCCATCTCCTTCAATATGACGGATAGGCGAAGGAGACTTTGCCCGCATAATGATTTTGTCGTTCCACATCTGATCCGTAATTTATATATATTTTTTGGGGATGTTTGGCCAACCTGAAAATCTGGCAAAATGTTCGGCGTTAAAACCCGGCCACCGGGAAGGTCGCCGGTGAGTTGAAAGGCAAAATCCTCACCGCAGACTTCATCAACTACAGAGACACGACGTTTCGCTTGCAACCGCATCAAGCATCACCAGGGCGCGTCACACGAAGTCAGCAGAGAAATCATAATTTTTTTAAAAAGCCGAAACTAAAATCCGTGATGCCGGGCTGCGGTCCTGCTGCCTACGATGCTGCACGTGGCTGCCTGTAGTGGTCCAGCGCTGCGCAGACAGCAACGGGGGTTGGTGGATCATGCACAGATGTTATTGTGGAACTCACTTCCCCATGGGCGTCGATGGAGGAGCCGTAGCCTGCTGTGAGGTAGACTGTGCGCAGTATTTACCAGGGCGGCCAACAGATTACAGTGCAGATCTCACAGGGGAATTGGGTGCCGGCTCCTGACCGAGTGGGCGCCTTGGTGGCGAGATGTTAACTAGCTCGCCTGGTATACAGGAGGTTCTGGATTTTGTTGCTGACCCTGACGCCTGCTGTATATTTGGAGTTTGCGTGTTCTCACCGTGGTCGCGCGTATTTTTAGCCAGGCCCTCTGGTTTTTCGCTCCACATTTAGAAACATGCGTTATAGATTCATCGGCTCCAAAAAAAAAAATCGCGCGTGATCGGCCACTTTGTTGAGCTATCATATGCGGTCAGGTCACTTCTGAAAAAAGAGCTATACAGCTCAGTGGGGTGATACCTGGTCAAATTAAAAAAAAATTACTTTTAATAGAGTGGTCGCTGCTGCTGTTGCTGCTGCCGCTTAACCGTTCGTCTGCAGTGCTTCCTCCTGGCACCTCCGAGTCGTCCCCCCTCTCTCTCTCTCTGCGACAGCGAGCGGACATCCTGCGTTGACGTCGCGTATCACATTACAAACCGTGGACCCTCTACGAGGGACGGAGAACGATCCACCCACCCAGGTCGCGAACGCCGCCCAAACGTCACGGGAGACTGCAGCAAAAACTTTTCACAGCTTGGCACGCAAGGCCCGCGGGCCGCCGTCCCGAAACGTCCACGCGCTGTGCACGAGCGGCCTCCCTCGCCTGGACACCTCGAAGAGAACGGAGCGCGGCCGCTCGGCATCCACCCACGACTCGACGAGCAGCGAGTCTCCGGCGAACGCCTCCCCCGCGAAGATCACCGAGAGCTTCTCCAGCCGCGCCGTGCTCCACGCGCCCGCCCCTCCGCCTCCGCCGCCGTGACCTCCGCCACCGCCGCGGCCTCCCTGCTCCGCCGCGGCCAGCCCGGCGGCCAGCGCATCGGCGCAAAAGCGCACGTGCTCGCCCTGGTGGACGTGCCCGCTCGCGTCGAGGCTGCTGGCGCCCGGCGTCACTTCGTAGCGGAACGGACCCGCGGGCCTCCCGGCGCCGCCGGCGTCGTACGGCCGCGGGAGGCCGGGAGCGGGCGAGCCCCGCAGGCGCCGGTGCGTCTCGCGGAACCAGTCGGGCAGCGGCGCCGGGCGCCTGCTCTCCGCGTCCACGTAGACCATCTGACTGACGAACGCCGCGAGCGGCGCCGGGTTCAGGCCCGCCTCCAGGCGCCCGCGGATCGCCCAGGAGGTCCGTCCCAGGTGGGCGACGGCCAACGAGACCCGGAAGCCCGTCCGCTTGGCGGAGGTCATCTCCCGCCAGAAGGCGGGCTCGAAGGACATCTCGAGGTGGCGCAGGAACAGCAGCGCCCGCGGGTCGTCCAGGTCGCCGGGGTAGATGGCCTTGCCGCGCTCGTGCTCGGCCAGGCCGATCCGCGTCAGCCAGAGGATCCGCGGCACGAACCACACGGCGACGCGGCCTGCGGGGAGCCGGAAGACGCCGGGGTAAGCGGCGATCGCGGCAAAGAAAGCAGGCATCGCGACCCACGGAGTTCGTCTGATAAACCCCGAGCGGCGGAGCCAGAAGCGTGGCGTTTCACCGCAGCGTCACCGGCAGCAGTCGCCTGGAAATCTCTCAATCACCGCTGCACTTGTGTAGCAGCAGCAGTAGCAGCAGCAGCAGCCACTTGTGTAGCAGCAGTAGCAGCAGCAGCAGCAGCCAGGCACCATCATCCACTTGTGTAGCAGCAGTAGCAGCAGCAGCAGCCAGGCCCCATCCACATTCAGGCAGCGGCTTGAACGCTGTCACCCGTTCAAGCACTCACCCATTCAGGCCTGATGGGCAATATTAGTCGACGTGCAATGTTCAGCTATTGGCAGTGTTAGTCGATTGGCAATGTTAGTCTATGGGCAATGTTAGTCTATGGGCAATGTTAGTCTATGGGCAATGTTAGTCTATGGGCAATGTTAGTCGATGGGCAATGTTAGTCGATGGGCAATGTTAGTCTATGGGCAATGTTAGTCTATGGGCAATGTTAGTCTATGGGCAATGTTAGTCTATGGGCAATGTTAGTCGATGGGCAATGTTAGTCGATGGGCAATGTTAGTCTATGGGCAATGTTAGTCTATGGGCAATGTTAGTCTATGGGCAATGTTAGTCTATGGGCAATGTTAGTCTATGGGCAATGTTAGTATATGGGCAATGTTAGTCTATGGGCAATGTTAGTCTATGGGCAATGTTAGTCTATGGGCAATGTTAGTCTATGGGCAATGTTAGTCTATGGGCAATGTTAGTCGATGGGCAATGTTAGTCTATGGGCAATGTTAGTCTATGGGCAATGTTAGTCTATGGGCAATGTTAGTCTATGGGCAATGTTAGTCTATGGGCAATGTTAGTCGATGGGCAATGTTAGTCGATGGGCAATGTTAGTCGATGGGCAATGTTAGTCTATGGGCAATGTTAGTCTATGGGCAATGTTAGTCTATGGGCAATGTTAGTCTATGGGCAATGTTAGTCGATGGGCAATGTTAGTCTATGGGCAATGTTAGTCTATGGGCAATGTTAGTCTATGGGCAATGTTAGTCTATGGGCAATGTTAGTCGATGGGCAATGTTAGTCTATGGGCAATGTTAGTCTATGGGCAATGTTAGTCTATGGGCAATGTTAGTCTATGGGCAATGTTAGTCTATGGGCAATGTTAGTCGATGGGCAATGTTAGTCTATGGGCAATGTTAGTCTATGGGCAATGTTAGTCTATGGGCAATGTTAGTCTATGGGCAATGTTAGTCTATGGGCAATGTTAGTCTATGGGCAATGTTAGTCTATGGGCAATGTTAGTCTATGGGCAATGTTAGTCTATGGGCAATGTTAGTCTATGGGCAATGTTAGTCGATGGGCAATGTTAGTCTATGGGCAATGTTAGTCTATGGGCAATGTTAGTCTATGGGCAATGTTAGTCTATGGGCAATGTTAGTCTATGGGCAATGTTAGTCTATGGGCAATGTTAGTCGATGGGCAATGTTAGTCTATGGGCAATGTTAGTCTATGGGCAATGTTAGTCTATGGGCAATGTTAGTCTATGGGCAATGTTAGTCTATGGGCAATGTTAGTCTATGGGCAATGTTAGTCTATGGGCAATGTTAGTCTATGGGCAATGTTAGTCGATGGGCAATGTTAGTCGATGGGCAATGTTAGTCTATGGGCAATGTTAGTCTATGGGCAATGTTAGTCTATGGGCAATGTTAGTCTATGGGCAATGTTAGTCGATGGGCAATGTTAGTCTATGGGCAATGTTAGTCTATGGGCAATGTTAGTCTATGGGCAATGTTAGTCTATGGGCAATGTTAGTCGATGGGCAATGTTAGTCTATGGGCAATGTTAGTCTATTGGCAGTGTTAGTCGATGGGCAATGTTAGTCGATGGGCAATGTTAGTCTATGGGCAATGTTAGTCTATGGGCAATGTTAGTCTATGGGCAATGTTGTCTATGGGCAATGTTAGTCTATGGGCAATGTTAGTGTATGGGCAATGTTAGTCTATTGGCAATGTTAGTCTATGGGCAATGTTAGTCTATGGGCAATGTTAGTCTATGGGCAATGTTAGTCTATGGGCAATGTTAGTCTATGGGCAATGTTAGTCTATGGGCAATGTTAGTCTATGGGCAATGTTCAGCTATTGGCAGTGTTAGTCGATGGGCTATGTTAGTCGATGGGCAATGTTAGTCTATGGGCAATGTTAGTCTATGGGCAATGTTAGTGTATGTGCAATGTTAGTCGATGAGCAATATTCGTCTGTACAATGTTTAGCTATAGGAAATCTTAGTCTATGTGCAATGTTAGTCGATGAGCAATGTTCGTCTGTAGGCAATGACTATGGGCCACATTTTACAGTAAACCACTGCAAAAGGAATCTTTATCGAGGGCACAAAGACAAAGATCCCCCGTACAGTCTCGAACAGGCTGCTGGGGCAAGGGCTGTTCGTGAGCCGAGCCGGCAAACGGTGGCCCACGAGGGTGCTGGTAGGACAGCACCACGCCCGGCCGCCTTTGTCTCCCCGGCGGCGACTTGTGCACACCGCGAGCACACACGCACACACAGGCGCGGGCTCGCAAGCCATGCGCGTACCCGTCCAGTCGAAGCAGAAGGGAGGGAGAGGCTGGAAGGAGACGGTGGCGCGCAGGCCCGACTCGTCGAACTCGCTCTGCATTGTACACCAGCAGTGCCACCAGCAGTACCAACACCACCAGCAGTACCACCACCACCAGCAGCACCAGCAGTACCAACACCACCAGCAGTACCACCACCACCACCAGCAGTACCACCACCACCTGTAGTACCACGACCAGAGCACCACCACCACCACCACCACGAGTCGCACCAGCAGCGACAGGAACAGGGTAAGAGGTCAGTCGAATCTGTTCCGCCGCTATTGGGCGTCTCTGCAGCGCACAGCCTCCGTACATAGCCCTCCCCCATGCATAGCAGATATAGCTCCCCCCCCCTCCTTAGCGAATAGCCCCGCCCCTCCCCGAGCCGCGGAAATCGAAGTCCACCGCCACCATTCCCACCGCGGCCCGGACCGGGTGGCTGCTGCTCTTTGACCAGACACGGGACACGCGGCGGGGAAGTTTGAACTTTGTTGAGACGTCTATCTGAGATTGGTCAACAGTGGAAAAAGTGGCAACCCAACAGCCACTCACTAACCCACGCAGACACCCACCCACCAATTCACTACTCACTCACCCACCGACTTATCCACTCACCCACCGACTGACTCACCCATCCACACACCTGCCCACTCACCCACGACTCGCTAATCCACGCGCTGACTCACTCACCCATTAGCCAACCCACCAACGTACCCACCCGCCACCCATCCACCCAAACACCCACCCATCCACTCAAACACCCACTCACCCACCCATCCAGTCATTTACCCAGCCATCCAGTCATTTACCCACACATTCAACCACACACTAACACACAAACTCACCCACGCACACTCACCCACTCACCTTGGCACCCATCCAGTCATTCATCCACTCAATCACTCACCCACTCACTCACCTTGGCACCCATCCAGTCATTCATCCACTCAATCACTAACCCAATCAATCACCTTGGCACCCATCCAGTCTTCATCCACTCAATCACTCACCCACTCACTCACCTTGGCACCCATCCAGTCATTCATCCACTCAATCACTCACCCACTCACGCACCTTGGCACCCATCCAGTCATTCATCCACTCAATCACTCACCCAATCAATCACCTTGGCACCCATCCAGTCATTCATCCACTCAATCACTCACCCACTCACTCACCTTGAAACCCATCCAGTCACTCATCCACTCAATCACTCACCCACTCATTCACCTAGGCTCACTGGGTTTGGTCGACAGTTGAAAAGTTGGCAACTGCAGGCATTGCGCAATCAATAATCAATATTCACCGTGCTGTGTGTATATTTAGCGCGTCCAGACCCTGCGCTATGGAGGCGACCTCGTGGCGCAACGGTAGCGCGTCTGACTCCAGATCAGAAGGTTGCGTGTTCAAATCACGTCGAGGTCAATCAGTGGCATTTTTTACTTCACCTGTCTGTCACGCTTCTGTTGCAACTGTCACGGATGCCGTGCCAGTGAACTTCAGCACAATCGAAATCGATATTTACGTCATTATCTTTGTTTTGAAAGTGATGAAACGGCCGTCGATTCCGGTGAAATTGTTGTAACGAACGCACCGACTGACAAAGTGTGAATGCCCACACTTTGTCCCACCGTACTCAATCTGATGAGACGGCATAATCAATTACCCAGACTGCTTTACTCTGAACTCTACCAAATGCAGCGAGGTCGGAGCTGGTTGCTCCACCCCAGATGTGACAACAGGATTCCAGCTTAGGTCGGAATTTGTGCTTCGTGTGTATATATACATCAACCCAAGCCTCCGGTAAACCACGTGGCTTCTCTCCCTGCCCACTGTGACAACAGACTCCGCTCCTGCTCCTCCTCCGTGCAGCAGCAGCAGTGTCGAGGCGCTGCTGTCTCGTCTCATTAGACACCTCCACTCATTCTCCATCCTTCTGCTCTCATTCCCCACCCGTTCTCCTCTCACTTTCCTCTCCCATTCCTTGTCTTGTATCCATTCATCACATCCTTGATTCTACCCCCCCCCCCCCTTCCAATGGTTGCGACAGGCATACAAAATTACAAGGGGTAGCGACCGTTGTTCTAATTGATCAATCAAAACAGTTTTCGTTGAAACCTTCTGCTGCCAGGCCACCAAGATTATACGGCTTACCAAAAATACATAAAGTTGATACACCTCTTCGTCCCATAGTCTCTACTATCAGCTCCCCCACCTACAAACTAGCTCGTTTTTTGTCTGAAATCCTGCGTCCTTTCACTGGAAAGACCACCTCTGCGGTACAAAATTCTACTCACCTGGTATCAACAATCAAGGGTATTTCCCTGTCCCCAGACGACCTGCTTGTCAGTTTTGATGTAGTTTCCTTATTCACCAAGGTTCCTGTACCTGACACCATTGCAATCATTGAAGACTTGGTTCATCAAGGACTAAACACTGAGGTACCCCCCCTGGTGAGACACTGTTTAACCAATACATACTTCACTTGGAATGGAACTTTCTACAAACAAACTGAGGGCACCCCAATGGGCTCCCCCCTTTCTCCAGTTATAGCTAACATTTTCATGGAGAAATTTGAGACTGACGCCATCCAGACTGCCACTCTGCGCCCAACCTTATGGAAGAGGTACGTGGATGACACTTTTGTCATCTGGCCACATGGCCGGCCTGCTCTAGACCAATTCTTCGACCACATCAATTCCATACACCCAGCCATCAGATTTACCATGGAAGTCGAAATAGATGGCAAGATACCTTTTTTGGATGTCCTAATTAAAAAGAGACCTGATGGTTCAATGAGCCACTCTGTCTACAGGAAAGCTACCCATACGGATGCTTATCTGAAACCGGATTCCCACCACCATCCATCACAGAAGAATTCTCTCATCAAGACTCTGTATCATAGAGCCCAATGCATATCCGACCAGGAACGCATAAGCAGTGAACTCAAGCACGTACACCAAGCTCTTAGGGCTAATGGTTACTCCGACTATACAATCCGCAAAGCTATCACTCAAACCATGAAGAAGAACCCTCTTGAGGAGCCTTTCAAAACCATCACTTTACCCTACATTGCTGGGATCACAAAAAAGATCTCCAAAATCTTGAATAAACACAAGATCCAGGTCCGTTTCAACACATTACATAAAATCCGTGATCTGGTTCCGTCTGTAAAAGATGTGATTCCGGACATACAATACCCTGGTGTCTACAAACTAAGTTGCCTCTGTGGTAGTAGTTACATTGGAGAAACCAAACGCCATATCTCGGACCGCATTCGTGAACATAAAGCAGACCTTAAACACGGTAAGACCAACACCTCGGCCGTAGCAGATCATTGTTCTAATTCAGTAGGCTCACATGCCATTGACTTTTCCAAGACGGAGGTTCTTTGTAAGCCATCTGGCTTCCATGAGAGATGCGTTCATGAGGCTATCCACATATACAAACACAGAGACAATTTCAACCGAGAAGATGGATTCTATCTTAGCAATCATTGGAAAGATTTGATAAATCATTTCAGTTCTTGATTGATTGTTCACGCTTACAGTGGCTTTCAGACAGCATACATAAAAACAAATTTCGTCTCCCCCCTCCTCTTTTCAAAAAATAGATGGACTAGTCCTGGCAAACTGCCAATCGTTGCGCGTGACGCAAACGTTATTTTATATATATATAAATAAATAAATATGCCGTTTTCAAAATAAATTTATGCAAACCGACACACCTGATGATGACCGTTTGAGTTATGGTCGAAACGTCGTGAGAATTTTTTATTGTTTTTATATATATTTTGTTATTTTGTTGTTTCTCTTCAACGTGACTTTACCGAAAAAACTAAGAATATAAAAGCCACTCTGTTCAGAGCCGTACATTTGCTCGTAGGAAAAAAAGGATATTATCGGACGGTTGGAAAGTAAACACTTTGGTATTTCGTCGGCATCTCATCTGTCCCAAAATAAAGTTTCGCGTCAAATTTGGCTCCAAGTCTAACAGAGAGAGAGAGAGGTCTTTGTCGGGCGATAATCAACATCCCTCGTGCTGTGTGCAGTGAACGTTGTGGGGACCTCGTGGCTCAACGGTAGCGCGTCTGACTCCAGATCAGTGAACGTTTTGTTTGATCAATTTTACATTCGCCTCTTCTACCGCGAATACCACGGTCACCATGCTCGTGAATTTCAGGACAATCAAAATATGTTCCATTGCAATGGTCAGGAAGCAGTAGGTCGAATTCGCCGAATGAATGCAGCGATTGGCACGCATCAACTCCCAAACCGCATGGCCTACTCTTCCACACAGCATACACATTTTTGAAGAGGTGGGAGAACCTCCACTTCAGCGTACTAAATCAGAGAGGGCTGGATCGTAAATGACACTGACGGCTTCACCCTGAACTCTATCCAGTGCAGCGAGGCAGTATTTGGGTGCTCCACCCCAGATTTTTGACCAGGATTCGTGCTTCGTCCATCTTTTCATATAAAGTACATCACCCACGCCTTCTGTATGTCACGTGGCTTCTGTTTGCCCACCCCCAGTCTGAACCCTCGTCTCTCATCTACAGATCTGTATCTCTCTATCGAGATCAAACCAAATCTCCCGTTAACCACGTGGCTTCGGTGTGGCCACCCCCACTCTGAACCCCTCCCGTTTCCCCGCCCACTGTGAAAACAGACTCCTCCTCCTCTGCTGCTTCTGTTGCCTCTTCTTCTCGATCCTCCTCTCTCCCTTCGCTCCCGTTTTCTCCACTCCATCTTTCTCTTAACACTCTACATTATTTCTCACCCTCTCTTCCCTCTCCCGTTCCTTTTGATTTTCCCAGTGATCACCACATCCTTGACTCTTCTCCCCTGCCCGTGTTGGCGTCACGGGTACAAAGTTGCTAGTAAGGGGCAATAATTATTCGAAATGAAATGAGGATTTGTTCAGAGTTAGTTAATGAAGATAAATCACCTTACATTTGTTCTCAGTCAAGAAAAGATTTTACAGTTGTTGGTAAATGAACGGTTTGGGCTTCTGTCGGCACCGCATCTGTTTCAAAGAAAGTTTCGCGTCAAACTTGGCTCCGTGTCTAACAGAGAGAGAGAGAGGTCTTTGTCGGGCGATAATCAACATCCCTCGTGCTGTGTGGAGTGAACGTCGTGGTGGCCTCGTGGTGCAACGGTAGCGTGTCTGACTCCAGATGAGAAGGTTGCGTGTTCAAACCACGTCGAGGTCAGAACGTGTCTTTTTATACATTTTACATTCGCCTCTTCTACCGCTTTTGCCACGGTGACAATACACATTAATTTCAGGACAATCAAAATATGTTCCATGACAATTG